ACATGAAGTTTGATACCTCCTTAAATTAATTAAACTGATTTATGTACCGTCATGTTTCACTAATATTTCGAAAATAACAACTTAAACCATTTTATACCTTTTTGCAATGCTTTTTTTGCAAGATTTCTCTAGATACATCTTAGAGATTTATATTTACACTAAGTTTTCCAGTTATTGTATTTCAACTTTCTGATCAACTCTTTTTATTACCGAGTGTTAAATCGCGTTGTTACTACCTAGTTATTTGAGACGCGATTATCTCTCATCTAAAGTCAAATTAAACGTATACTAATCGCCACTGAAAAATAAACAATAGCTTGTTGTTTAGCTTTCATTTTGATGAACGACTTTTTAACTGATCATTTTTATAACGTGACTACTAGTCTAGCTGATAGTACTCGATACATACTATTACATAAACAGAGATGATGTTTAGATACTAGATGATGTTCCTTTTTTTCATCTTTAGGGAATCTTTGGCTGCCTTCACGTATGAATATTCAGTTTTGTTACAAAAATATTCAGCTATTCATTCGATGAAAACATTGATACAGCACTTCTGATTAACTTACTTTAATTTACTTATCAGTGTTAAAGTAACCGAGTTAATGTCATTCAGTTAATGTATATTTATATGAGCCTCTTAAAAAAATTCACCAGTATTAACGCTTTATATAAAATTTCCAGATATAAACTCTCACGATTCGGACTAACTATTTTGCCTGTAAATGTCTTGTGGTCAGAATTTTGTAACTAACCTACATAATTACCTAGCTTAATTAAACTTCTGCCTTAGGGTACACCTAGAAATCAGAGATCTTCATAAGCTCAATAATCTGATAATAATGAAGCACAAATCGTATTATTATATTCATGAATTCACTTAATTTGGAATTAGAAAATTTAAGTGACTATTTCTTGCTTTAACAAGTAAAGTCATAGCATACTGACGCTCACGAAAACAATCAGACGTTACACGTCACGAATAGTTTAAAGTCAGTGAATACAACACTCTTACAACGTACTACATTATCGAAAAAACAATTAACAAATGTCCACAAAAATTATTATTGGAAAACAGGAAGGTAAATAATGGGGATTTTAAATGTGGATGAATATCCAGACTATATGGGATATGTAGATCAAGTGAAAACTAGTCAAGTAGATGATTAAATATTGAACCCTTTTAAGGACTCGAAATACTCAGAAACGTACTGGAAATACACTACGAAAGCCATTTGATGTGACAGATTTGTCAAATGATTAGTTTAATCGTTGCATAGTTTAAATATTTCATTATTAATTGTTCCTCTCTGTGACATATTTATTTATATTATTTCTGCTAGCTATGAATTCTCGTATGCTCCTATTTTCATAATTACATGCCGTATCTGTCAAACTATTATTTTAAAATCCTGTTACAATCAAGAACTACACAATGACCTTAAATACTTGACACTTGTTAAAGTCAGTGTCATTATCACAGCTGAATTGTTGCATTCTTATGTATCGTTCTAAACTATTCCAATTAAACTGAAATATGTGCTTCTTTAAAAACGAATGATTTCACTACTAAGACTGGAATATTGCAACTATTGGTACATCGCCCATATAAAAGTTCACAAGTACAATATGTAGGTTTATACCAGCAACAACTTCTTATGTGGAAACGATACAATATGCAAAGAATACAGATTTAAATTTTTTATGCCTACAAAATATAAATAATTCACATAATATTATGAAATGATCTAGACAGAAGTGCATTTATATGAGTCGTATATTATCTTTCAACACTATTAAACAATGCTAAAACCACAAGTCGACCAATATTTCCTAATTTTTAACCGTTTCTCAACTAATTTAGATGCATAATGAACTCAATCTTTTTGTACTTCATTCTTATTAAAATAAATGAACAAATAAATTTGTTCAATAAAGAAGGAACAAATTGAGCATTTTTCACCGCTTCACTGAGCCTTGCGCTATACTTCAGATACTCGTTGAAAACCTTTAACGCAAATGTTTGTTCAGAACGTTTCAATATTTACCAAATGGCAAAATGGAAATAAATTTGTGATCATATTCTATGTCATCAACAACTGTTTCAAACTACTTCTATTTAGAAAACATTCATCCAAACACTAAATAATCATCTTTCTTTAAATGATTTATTACCTTATAGTACAACTTAGTTAAACTCATTTCCAAAACCATCAAATACAGAAAAAACAGATAGATAAATAACTTCAGAAGTAAATAATAAACTATAGTTTACGATATATTCTCGAGTTGACCTGTAATTTAGAAAATCCTTATTAGTATATTACAGTTTCTTGGAAAATAACGAGTACAAATCTCTGTACTCAGCTTTAACTTAGTAATACAACCAACTAGGTGGGATAAGATCGAATTTACAATTTACTAGTTGAAAACAAACTTTCACAACCAATAGGCTACCTATACACACTGAATCAACTCATTATTTATATCTAAATATCAACAGGATTTGTTAATATTTGTTGTTTGAAATAAATCATTTAACAATTTGGCGGTTTCATTTTTTTTTAAAGTGAGTAGAATAAAAATCAATATTACAACGAATATAATTCTATTCACCTATTTTACAAAATATTAATGGAATATGAATAATTTATACATTAGGAAACATGTGATCAAACAAATTACAATTATCAATATTTAATAGAGAACAAAAATTTAAACAACACATATAAGCGAACAATAGTTTTCAATTAGATCGTCATCAGGCTTTACTCTAATATACATGAATATTTATACGAAAATGTTAAACCAATCAAGGTAATATGAGTCAATAATCACAATGAAATAGAATAAGTCACTACACATAATAGGTAAAAGTACAAGACAGGTGAACTGATAATAGTGAGAATAATCAAAATACAATAACAAAACTCTTATCAATAGTTAAACGTTGGGAATAGAAGGTCAAACAAACATGGGTAAATACACTAGGAATAGTAATCACAAAACCTTAAAAATCAATACGTAATAAGATGTGTGTAAATAATTAGATAGTGAAGAATACAAAGAGGCGGATAATGACAAACAAATAATGGATGTGGAAATAAGGTTAACAATAACACAGATGGAATAAAATAAATATATTAGAGTAAAGCCTGATGACGATCTAATTGAAAACAATTTGTTCGCTTATATGTGTTGTTCTAATTTTCACAATGGGAATCTTTAATATTCAAAAATTTAAACACATAAAATGAATTAAATTAATACAGTCTACAGATGACAAAACATACAGTTCATATAACAATAATTCATTTATAAAAAGTCTTTACAGTTTTAGTGAGTACATAATTTTGTATCTATGAATCAATACACTTAAATATTACATATCAACAAATTATTGAAAGTAGTATTAAATAGAACTATTCATGTTGTAAGCAATTTTATAAATCAAATAAAAACAGTCTAAAGATTAATGATAACAATACAGATTGCAATTTTAGTTGTTTGGTTAATTTGCAGAAAACAACTAGACCCCTATTTTATAACCATCTTTAAGTGAATAACAAACTGATGTTTATTGATTTTGCTTCCGGTTTAATTTCATATTGAGGCTTAGTTTGATTAGAACTATATACAGCTGTCTTCAAGTTTTAAAAAGATGACAAAGTGAAACGCGAACATACATTTGTAGACCTCATCTTCCTACATATGAGAATTTACTAAGATTCAATCAAGAATAAATAATAAACCTATCCCACCTTCTAAGCTGATTAAATTTTAAGTACTCAGTGAGATGTGAATGTTCTTTCTTAGTGTTCAAGCTGGTAAATATCAAAGTGGTTAAGCACAACTGATCTGTATTATAATAATGATTTACTTGTGATATGGATTTATGCCTTGAAATCATCGGGCTTTCTACACCGGTAGTCAATGTAAGACAAAGTAATGTTGTACGGAAAAAAGCTGTACAGGATTGGCTTCTGTAGTTCTAACACAAACCTCTGATTGGGATCTTAGAGTTAGCACAATCCAGTGGCTTTAAACGCTACTGGACATGACTTAGTATAAAAGCCATTTATGAAGCTATTTGTTTCTCCTATATTCTTCACAACAGAGAAACTCATTTAACTAGAAAAGATTCTTTCTTAGTTGCATTTTTCTTAATTAAACCATATTTGTTCACCTGTATTTTCATTGTATCTACCCCCCCATATCTTCACGACAATATTCCTGTATTTGATGTAGGACTTGAGCTTTTGTGCCTAGTTGTGCTATATTTTGTATATTAAATAAAATTTTGAATACCTAACTGGGTTAGTAAAGCAATAAGCTTAATGATATGTGTGGCTGGCCAGTTTTCTGTTTTATTTGTTAGAAGGTATGATGCTAAATGACCAGTCAAAAACCAACTTAATATGGTTGTACAAAAGTATATTATCTAAGATACAAAAATGCTCTGTATCTGTACGATGAATGAATTTTGTGCAAAAACCCAAACGTTATCGTATGTCTGAATAGTCCGTTTATACAGCATAGCGCCAATGTTAATTCTTTTTTTAAGACCTAAGTTTAAGATTTAAACGTAGTGTTGATTCCCCTTTTATATACAATCCATATAGAAAGTAATTGACCATTTTATGATTTTAACACCAACACCCTTACTCTATGATCGTAAAAAATAATCCTCACTTTTGGATTTAAACATTCTCAATACTATCGAAAGGTTTTTTGCTGCTCATTCAGTATATGTGATATAAGACATCGTTTATTTTGAATTTCGCCCAAAATGCCTGAAATTCACTTCGATTTTGATGTGCTCGTCTTTATATTATACTTTCACCGTACCAACTTAATGTGAACTTAGTTCAGCAGGACACGCAGCTCGGCTTTTCGCAATAATTCTGTTTATTCTTCTTTAGATTTCATACTTGTTAACTAAATATCAAGTATGAGTGAAATTAATGTGTGTATTTTTACAATTCGAACAAGTTTTTGTCAAAAAGTCTATTAACAAAAATCATTTATAATATCTGAGGGATACTTACACTTGCTAACAATCGGAAAGTATGAAATAACTATAATTTATCATTGTTAAATACAATTCTACAAAGCTTTTCCAATGTTGTTGCACAACCACCACCAAAACTACATAGGACTGTGTACAGCATAAATCAGAGGGATATGATAAGAAACACTAACTTCCAAAAATAACCTAGATTTGTTTGTATCTGTCTAAGTTTAGACCTTTCTACTTTGAACTCAATGACTTAATATATGAAGTGATTAGAAAGGATGCTCCAGTGAAACAGCCGGTCACAGACAACATCAGAAATAGTAATATGTTTTAGTTTAAGTTAGCTCACCTCATATCAGCAAATTTAAACTAACTAGATAGAAATTAATAGAGGAGTTAATTTCAAGTGAAGTAGAGATCTAAATATAAGGAGTATAGTTTGCAGATAATAAATAGGACAGGGAAATGACAAGTATGAATAACACGAAACTCGTGGTTGATAGAAAAATTAAAAAGTGAACTCCACTATGGCTGGTTGTTTCCTATTGTCAGCAAACGTCCCCAACCAGTAAATAGGCTGAAATGTTGGTGTCGGATTACATTATTTCCTGTCAGGACCTACTTACACAATTTCTATATTTCGTTTTCAAGTCTCACCTTACATGGATACATAGGGACGGTAAATTGATAGCTCTATCCATAAAGCTTTAGCTAATTCCGCTTGGATTATTACCAGATATTTCAGAAAATTAATCCAAAATGGAACTTGGTGGCTTATGGATGCAGAGGTTTCTCAGTTGCATACAGTATGAATTTTCGAGTTCATTGAGTAAAACCTATGGTGTGTAGTGTTCAGTTATTGTTTCATCATGGACTAAGTTTCGCTACTTTAGTTTTACTTGTTTTCTGATATGAATATCATCTGTTTCACCATAGTTTTTTAGGCACTGATAGATTTTAATCATAAGGCGGAAATCCAGTTCAGATGAGTAAAATTTAGACGATCAATAAGTTTTCCATTAACGCTATTGCTTTCAAGATCAAAGGGAATACTTCTGTTTCCAGAAAGCCTAGCTCATAAACCTTCGGGTGTACCAATGCTAGCCAATCAACTGATAGTTGTAATTGTGAGACGAAAACCCTCGAAACTCATTCGGAATTTCAAAAATAGAATCCGTCTTGCACGAAAGCTTGGAGCTATTTCGCATATATCTATTTAAATGAAAGATAAACTCAAGGAGTGGATGAGCTATTTGAATGCTTGACCACAGATTCCGGCGCTGATCCACCAGCAACGACTTGGGCGGATAAGCAGAGCTGTTAACCTCCATTCTCTAGACATGGTGTATGGCACTACGTTAGTTTTATACTTGTTTGATAGGAAAATGCAAGCTTCTATATGTAAGCTACTCCGTTAACGATACACATATACCACCTTAATCAAATGTATGACATTTTCACCTGTGTAAAGTTTAACATGCTTTAAGTATTTTAAGTGTTTGGTGGAAATACAGTATGTAAAATCACTGCATCCTGCAAACGTAAACTACTTGAATGAACTGTGTATATTCGATAAAATTGGTTGGGATAATCTGCATATCTTCAGGTGACATAATTCACCTCAACAGCCTTATTACATCAGAGCTAAACAGTACACAGCAACCACGTGGGAAATCATCGAGTTATCTGAGCTGAATTCCTCCAAAAATATATCTAACATCTTGCGGCGAGACTCTAATTTAAGGAAGAGCCAATGAGAAGCGTTTGAGCAATTTCAATTATTAGCCAATCGGAAGGCTGTATAAGGTAAAAATATATTACAAGAAAGTAATGAACTACAGTAGATATTCTTCTTTTACATGACTTAAAAACTTGTTAAGGTTTGATAAAGGCTCAGAAGTTCTGAATTCATAATGCATACGGTATAGAAACTCGTCCATAGGGTTAGAGTGCTAACATGAGATCGGTTTACATCGGATTTTAGAGAAGAGGTGTTTATTGAGAGGCTACAACCCTAACCTCTAAAATCCGTTGTAAACTGATCGCATGTTAACACCCTAACCCTATGGACGAGCTTTTATACCATATGCATTATGAATTCAGAACCTCTGAACCTTTATCAAACCTTAACAAGTTTTTAAATCATGTAAAAGAAGAACATCCACTGTAATTCATTACTTACTTATAATATATTTTCACTTTATACTAACTGTCTTCTGACTGGCTAATAATTGTCAAGGTCATTTAAGATTCGTTCAAAGGTCGTCGCTAAATTCGAGTCTCGCCCACTTCGCAGTTTTGTAAAACAGTGGGAGCGAAATCAAACTTAGAAACACCTATCTAATTGCATAACAAAACTGATCGTTGCAGAAAAAATTCATGGAAAGCTCCATATACAAAGTCAGACCAGTATAAGATAGTGGTGCCTCTAAACAAACGACTGTCCTGTTTAGTTAGCATCTTCCGATCCAACAGAATCCAGATAACTCAAAAGATTAAAATTATTAGTTTATCAACGTCTCATCGCATATATAAATCAAAGCCAGAAGTTAAAGTGAGACAGAGAAAGTATGTTGCCTTCGGGAGATAACTTTCTAAAATGTCCTTAAACAAAAAAGTTTATCTTTTTGGGGATTTATTAAAATGAAAAATATACATAAGAAGAAAGCAAAATAACATCTTATATGACGCGAATTTAGCAACAAGTGCTTCCTTAGAATACACAAGTGCTACATTAAAATTCAGTCAAAATTAGGGAGAGATTTACTATTCGAAATTAAAATCCACTATCGAAATCATCAGACTTGACCACCAGATAAACCAGAAAGAAGATGGTTGCAAACATAAGCGTGTTGGCTGATAACGTAAGTCCACAAGCACCCCACAATATCTACAAGAAGCAAATAACTTTTCGCTTTAAAACTTACGAGGGGATTTTCTTTAGGTGCTCGAGCAAACAGTATAGGCAGTGCATATGCGGATACTATCACGATTGTGGTCAGAAAAACACTCACATCCCCCAATGAAGAGCTTTCCTGGAAATTTTTAGCGACCAGCAATGGAACTGGTGCTAGTATGTAAAATATCAGCATGAATAGTGGCCACCAAACACTAAACACGATTAAACTCCTAAATAATTCTGTTACTTGTACTGTGGTAACGCACAGGCTAACAGTAAGAATGTGAATGAAACTGATCCTGCAAGCGAAACAAAAATTACGGCTTTAAAGTTTTGAGTAATTATATCGGTTGTAAATCAACATACTCCTAATCCCTGTCATTGTATCCCAGGTAGCGCCAGAAACTGCAAACGACCTAGACTATTAGAAAACCCGCTGAAAGTAGGGTGACCATCCAAAATCCATCAAGTTTCAGTTTCTGTTCGGAAAGGACAAGAGGCTTGATGGCTTGCGTTAGCCCTGCTAATGACGGTTTCCTAATTTATTTTGCAAGAGTCGACGGATGGAGCCTCAACCACATGCTGAGGTAATGAATTACACTCGATGATGATTCGATGGGAGGTTGGTAGTGTGCTGACAAGTAATTTGTCCTGAGCTTGTGACTTTTTCTGGAGTGTCCTTGTAAATCCTCTATTTTCGAAGACAAGAAAAATGAGGGCATATCATGTGCAAATTTATCACCAAGCAATTTGGAAACAGTAATCGATTACCTGCTTGCACATCCTAAACTACATGATACTGTTGTAAAATCCGCCAGAAAAGATATACAGCACCTTTCTGATGACGTTCGTGCACATGGACCTTTGCATAGTTTTTCAGCCTTTCCATTCGAGGCTTATATGAGACAAATTAAGGATTCTGTGCATAGTGGGTTTGCAGTAGCAAGCAGTTCAGCTTTATGCTGCAAAAAATGTCTTTCTGCGATAAACTGCAACTTAGCTGTTTAACAAATACTACCCCAATATGCGCACCAATAAACAAGTAATTATGTTTAAGAATATTAATATAACTTCATTTAAGCCAGATAATGTAGTAGTAGTAAACGGACAGCCTGGTTTAGTCACTGATATAAAGAAGGATGGACTACTAAAATTCAGATCTTTCACTGACCCACGTAATTACTTTGAAGATCCTTTCCCATCTAGTGATAAAGGAATCTTTATGTGCTCGGTAGTTAGCCATGAACACACATGGATATCACTTATGGACATTGATTGTAAATGTGTAGCCATCAATTGTATCAATAATCTAGTTATAATCCCATTGTTGCATACTTTAATATAAATGCATTTTGTTTCACTAGTGTTGAATTAATGACGATAAACAATTTAATTACGTCTTATGTTATTTTTAGCCCACTAACAAGCGATACGTCATTGTTGACGTCCCCAGCAAGAAACAACTTATGATAGCATCCAAGGAGTGGATAGTAGGCAAGGAACTTTGCCTTTTTCCAACGGAGCTGGTCGACACGCACCTGCAAAACTGCGATAAACCAGATAACAACTGGTCAGTTATGAAATGTAATGTAATTTACGAATTACGTAAGTAACAAACATTGAAACTATAATTCACTATAGATTGTTTGCAGTCTGCGAAAGATCTATTAGTTTCTTTACAAATACTAGATTCTCGCCATAAAAACACCTACCGATGAAAACACATTGCCACAGAACACAGAAAAGTTCAAGAGGTCTGTACAATAATCTTACTAACATTTCCTAGAGGTGCAATGAAGCATAAAGAAGAATTTCTTTACAATTCAGCTGACATTGACGTGGCTGAGATGCAGGCTGGCAATAGCCATGTTCAATATCCGAAATTCCGGTTGTTTGACAAATTCGTCTCGCCAATTGCCAAGTAACTTTCATTACTATTTAGATGTTCACGAATTAGTTCGACGCAATTAGAGACATCACCGTCAACATCGGAATCTAAGCATGTCAGTGGTGATGTAGCGGACCAGTAAGTCACCTGCATCATTAAGTGAACATTTTTAGGTTCGACAGGTTGCATACAGTGGTGCAGAATAACTCGTCAACTATGACTGACTTTAGTCAAATGCTGACGTCTATCTTTACAGTTATGCCGCCACCGAAAACTCTTCTGAGTTTTCTAAAGTTCAAAACCCAGAAGAAAGTAATCCTGATGTAGCTGGTTTCCATCCTCTTAAAAATGTTGACTTAGATTCAACCCGAAGTAGTTGTGCTGATGACGAATAGGACAACACAGTCCGAACCCCTGTTAGTGCAACACCCAACTACAGTAACTGTGCAACGAATAACATGAAAACTAATCATAACATTCGTATAACTGACCACACACTTAACGTTGATAGATTCGAACCTCGCAAAACATCTCAAGTATGTTCAACAGCACATGGTAAGCGTTTTTTTAGCGAGTTAGTTTTCCACGGGATGGGGACGCTAACCTCAAGCCTAACCCTCCTCCTTTACTCGGGCTTGGGACCGGCAGTAACTCTGGAAGTGCTACAGGCACAGCACACGACCCTCTCCAAATTATGGAGCCGTGATTAACCACAAACCTTGGAAATAAACGTCTGGAACATGTTACCCATACGTCAGTTATAATTAGTAATCTGAATTGTAACTGACCACTTGGTTGCACACATATATCGCTTTCTGTCATACGCTGCCAACGAAAAACACCTTTCTAAGATGTGCGACATTGCGACACAAAGTTATTTTCACGATATCCGAGACAAAATATTAAAGCGTAATAGAAGGAAACCAGATCAGGTATGTACTAATTTAAAGTGATAACTTCCCTACGGCTCTACAGTTACAGCCTACAGTATTAACGAACACAACCGTAAGTTCAGCCTAAATTATTTGGCTGTGCCAAAGCATATCATTCAGATGTCGTTGTGATTTGTTTCGTTTTTTAGACTTCGGAATTCACAGGACGACTATTTCAATTCTCAAAAGTCGAACATACGTGGCTGAAAGCAAAAGTTCGTACAAACTTTTTATGTTCTATTTAATTTTTAATAAACATTTTTTGGTAAAACAGCTTGCTTTTTTACTTACATGGGAATCTATTGAAGTGTTGAAAAAGTGTATTTGATTGTCAGTGAACTAGCGATTAAATACACATGCCTTATAAATAATACATCATCTGTTCCTTCTTTTGCAGGTATTTTCAAATAACAATGAATAAGCAATTGCTATGGAAATGCAAAACAATCGATGCTGAAGCTTATGCTATAATGTACAATAATATGCTTTTCCTTTTAAATAAAAATTTATAAAAATATACCGGTTTTCCCGTGGATTGCAATTTTATTTTGGTCTGTTGTTGAAAATAAAGGCGAACATAGGAGACCTTTGGGGTTATGCCAATGCATCGAAAATATGGAGTCCTGAGTGTATTTAGGCGAGAAGTAGACAATTAAGCGTATCTGTAGGCGCAAAGTCGACAATTCGGCGGATATTCAGGAAAAAGAAGGCAGTTCAGCAGATATTTAGGCGAGAAGACGGTAATTTATCGACAAAGTGGCAAAAAGGAGGAAATCCGCATTATTTCCGCCGGACAGGCGAAAAAGGCGACATCCTGGCGCATTTCCCCTTTTATTTCCCCTTTCTCTTCCAATGCATTTTCCCCTTTATTTCCCCTTTGTTCGCTTTTATTTCCCCTTTTTCGTTGTTTGGGCAATCTTGATTCGATATTATTGAAGTTTATCATTATCAATCAGATGAGCTTTCTAGCTTTGGATACTTGAGATATAATGTGCTCAGAAAAGTTCAGACTGTAGCTATATCTTGAACCCAGGTAACGAATAGTGTTGAGAGGTTTGAGTGTATGGGTGTGTACAGTCAGATTTAAGTTAAGGCAGCGACCAATGTGAATGAATCCACTTTTGTCAACATTAAGTGGCAAATTCCATGAAACAGTCCATTCGTACAACTTGTATATTTCCTCTTGGATTACCGCTGAAATATAGCTTTTTTTCGTGGGAGAAGAGAATGAATAAACTACTTTCAGGTCATCAGAAAAAGGAAAGGCTTACCATACTGAAAGAGGGAACACACATCATTGATAAAAAGGAGAAAGAGTAATGGACCAATCACACTTATTTGTATAACCCCACTGGTTACATTCATAGGTTTAGAGTAGCAAGATCCAAAGCGAACGATTTGGCTACGTTCTTTAAAAAAAAGATTTGAGCCAAGATAAAAGGGGATTCTGTATGCCAAATGATGAGAGTTTTAAAAGAAGAAGTTTGTGTGAGACACTGTCGAAAGCCTTACTAAAATCGAAGTAAAGAATTATCACTGACTGACCAACATCTCTTCTCTGGGTAATTTGATCAAAAATCTCCAGGTGCCATGTGAAACATGGGCGTTTAGTCATAAATCCGTGTCAGATTAGCCGAAAATAAAAATGATAATAGCTGTTTGTGAATGTTTTTTCCATGGTTCTTGAGAGCACGGATGTCAAATTAATTGGCCTATAGTTAATAATATCACTACGTGATCCTGTTTTGAATCTAGGGGTGATAAGGGATGTTTTCCATACAGGTGGATAGGTCCCATATTCCATAGATAGGCTGAAAAGTTTCAAACAAAATAGTGGGAACTCTTTACTCCCATATTTCAAAAATGATGAAGGTGTCACGTCAGGTCCACCATCATAAGACTTTTTCAGGGCAGCTATGGCCTGCTTGATGTTGGAGGGTATAAGATCAGTTTTTGATAGATATCTGGATGTCAGCATTGGAAATGTAATGATGGAGTTTTCAGTTCCAGTTTTGTAGCACTGCGAGAAGTGCTTGCTGAATTGTCCGCATATAGTATTCCGGTCGTTAAAAGTGCATCCGTTAACTATGAAAAATTTAGTCGTGCCAAGGGAATTTGACTTTACACGGGATTTAAAAAGCCGGAGTATTGATAATTTTGGGCTTTGACTACGTAGGGCTTTATTTTCAGTATTCATAAAATACTTACGTTTAGATGAAGCATTTCTGTCGATTAATTTAAGTATACTCTGAAGTGCATACACGTCGTTCTGCTCGTAGTAGCGGCATTTTAATTTCCTCGGCTTTTTTTAAAAGTATTCTGGCCCCTATAAGCATTATAAGCCACACAGTCAGTAACTGGAGCAGTGCAGTCAAGGCAATATATCAGGTTGTGGTACAGATTGGAAAGCGCAATGTCAGCACTGAATGAGATTTTCAGTCCGTTTCCAGGTTTGTTCATCAAAATGTCTGCTCTGGTACATCATTGAAGCTTTAGAGTTCAATTGTATGGCGTCTAAAGAATGAATAGTGCTCAATACAACTTTATGGCCACTCAAAAAAACCCATGACTGGTATGCACTGAGATAAAGTCTATGTTGATTGTGAACATTAAATCAAGTATATTA